TGCGTGTGGCTCTTGGTGTGGCACTGTGGGATAAAGCACTGGACTGCAATGTTGGCAATTCAAAGCCACTTCTTAGGAAACCTATACACGGTTGCTGAGTTAGAACTGACTCAATGGCACGTCACAACAATACATACATACATACTTATATATATACACATACACTTACATGTATCTGTTGTCACAGTACACAAACATGTATATATTTTGTTGTGCAGTGCCGTTGAATCGCTTCCGACTCATAGCAGCCTGGTATAGTTTTCAATTAAGATGAGACATTCAGCTCCCTTAGTAGTCCACTGCTTATCGGATGGAATCATCAAGCTCCACATTTGTATAAACGTTTTATATATATATATATAATTTCTTAAATCTACCTAGAAAGAGACAAACTAAAAATGTTACTAATGAGAATCTGCAGGTGATGAGATCAAACCTCTGCAAGCCACTGCTAGCCCATAATGTGAAGTGCCTATATATTGTTATTAAGTGCTGTCGAGTCAATTCCGACCCACAGTGACCCTGCACAGGTTTCCGAGGATCAGCTGGTGAGTTTGAACCGCCGACCTTGTAGTTCAAAGGGCTTTGCAGTCTGGCACATTGACCCACAGCGTCTCACCAGGACTTCTGTGCCTGTATGGGAGTTAGAAAAAGGCGCCTTTCCTTTTTCCCAGCAGACACAGCCCCACACCTATGCTGATCTTGTCTTCATTAGCATTAGAATACTTTCTACAGGCAGACCCAATCAAGCACCAGGGTCCTCACCCTCTAGAATTCAGTATGGATTTCTGGCTCCACTCACCACCAATGGAACTTTCCGGCATGCCATACACTCAACTAAATCTAGGAGGGATACCCTTGTGCAGGTCATGTACCTGCAGGTTGGAATGTTGTTGTTAAGTGCTTCAAGTCGGTTCTGACTCATAGGGGGTCCTGTATAGTTTCCAAGGAGTGGCGGGTGAGCCTGAACTACCGACCTTAAAGTCCAGAGCATTAACCCACAGCACCACACCTTGATTATGTGTACTTATTTTTCAATGCTGCAGTCCTGGTTGGTGCTGTGGATTAATGCGCCAGACTGCAAAGTCATTTGAGCTGCAAGGTCGGCGGTTCAAGCTCACCAGACACTCCTCAGAAACTCCATACAGGGTCGCTATGGATCGGGATCGATTCGAGAGCACTTAACAACAACAGTTTCAATTTTGAAAAAAGGTCTTGTTGTAATCCTTATGAAAATAAAACAAATCCCAACTTTACTTCTTATTGTTGTTGTTAAGTGCCGTCGAATCGGTTCCGACCCATAGTGACCCTGTACAGGGTTTCCGAGGGTATAAATCTTTACGGGAGTAGAAAGCCTCATCTTTCTCCCGCGGAGTGGCTGGTAGTTTCGAACTGCTGACCGCAAGGTTCGCAGCCCGATTCGTAACCACTATGCTACCAGAGCTCTAGGTGATGTCAAACCAGTTCTAACTCACAGTGACCCTATATGTACAACAAAGCAAAACATCACAGGTCCTGAGCTAGCCTCACAGTTACTGTTAACTTTTGAGTCCACTGCTGTTGCCACTGTCAACCCATTTCATTGGGGGGTCTTCCTGTTTTTCACTGACACTCCACTTTTCCAAGCATGATGTCCTTTTCCAGGGACTGGTTTCTCCTGATAACACGCCTGAAGTATGAGATGAAGTCTCACCACCCTGGCTTCTAAGGAGCACTCTGGCTGCACTTCTTCAACACAGATTTGTATGTTCTTCTAGCAGTCCATGGTACCATCAACATTCTTCTCCAATACCACATTCAAATGCATCTAATCAAACCCACTGCAGTCCAATCAACTCTGAATTCATGTAGACCCCATATTTTTCAAAGTAGAACTGCTCCATAGAGTTTTCTTGGCTGTTACCTTTATAAATGTAGATCTCCAGGACACTCTTTCAACCCTTATGCTATTAGCAGGGCTCTTCAACCACTTTAGTCATGGCCAATGGAGCAAAATCAAAACAGACATGAAGTTTTAGAGAATAGATGAAGTGGTATGATTACCAGAATGGGAAAAATTTCGGGTTGCAGCCCTGGAGTGGGAGACTCAGATGAGGCGCAGTGAGCCCCTTTCATAAGCCGGATGCTCTAGAGATCAGATTATTAAGACAGTGGAGACACAAATTCAAAGCACCCATGTCTACCACCATCTTTGAGCAGGACATCGTTGATTCCAACTCTGTGCTCGCTGTCCCAGTTTTCTAAGAGAGATTAAGTTTCTACTAAGGTGTTAACTTGAAATTTTTTCCTAGTCTCACTTTATAATTCATGTCCATTCCAGTTTTGCTTCCTTGGCTATGACTGAAGCAGAAGGAAACCCTTATTAATGTGGTCAAGTCTGTTCTGATTCTAGACTGGCTGGTGGGTTTGAACCACCGACACATGGTTAGCAGTCTCGTGCTTATCCTACAGCACCACACCAGAACTCTGCCCTGGCTAATAGCACGGTGCAAACAATTTGTCATCCAGGAGCCCACTACTTCTATGGTCCTTATATATTGCCCTGTACTTTGATAATTTATGCATATATATTATCTATTTAATGGCTGATGTTGTTCAGTGCCATCAAGTCAGTTCTGACTCATAACTTCCCTGTACAGGGTTTCTGAGGAGTTTATGGTGGGTTTGAATTGCCGACCTTGTGATTAACAGTCCAGTGCTTATCCTACACTGTGCCACATCAGGACTTAGGTATACATCTCTACCTACATGAAATTAAAGTTAGATAAGAAGTATTAATGTCATTCTAAGACAAATTGAGAATACTTAGTACTGGAAATGAGAATGCACTGAGGAAGGCCAGTAGCCTATAGAAATGAATCCTTCTCCCATCACATTAAAAAATTCCTTCAGTAGAAAGTGTCTCCAGAGAAGCAATGGTCATCATGTTCATTTAACTCCAGATGCAAGATTTATTTCATCACACTAATGGATTCCAAAAGACAGCAATTTAAATAAAAATGAGTGATTACCGTACAGTTAGGCAAAACATCTATAAAATAACACAACCGCTGGATGTGGATTAAAGAACTGGGTTCTTTTCTTGGCTCTGTGGAATATGTAATTTTACACAAAGTAAATCACAATCCTTCTGGATCTCATTTTTTCACATCTCTAAGTGGTGGGTTGAGCTATATAACCTTCAAGGTCTCTTTCAGCTTTTGATAGGACTTTAAGCTTCTTTCCACTATAGAAGAGGCAATTTCAGAAAGTAGCGAGTTTATATTCTGAGTCATAGCTAATTTACTGTCTTCCTGATTATCAAAAATGTGCTCAAATCCAAATTCTCACTGAGATGTCAAGATCCAGTAACAAAATTTCTCCAAAAGTGGAAAAATGAGTTTAGTATAAAGTCAACAAAAGCACTTGTCCTTATTCAAACATTATGTAATTTCTCACAAAGACGTTCCACAAAAATTCTACACAGGGAGATGGCTTAAATATTTAAAATACAAAAAACAAACAAAAAAGAACTCAAGCTTAGTAAAACTGCTCATATCACTCACATGTTTTGAAGGCACAGAAAGAAAAAACTGCAGTTCAGGCAGTATTTCCTTTCCCCAAAATAAGCAAATGGTAAAGAAACCCTTTGTAATTAAAAATAAACTGGGGAAAAACTAACCGTTTTATGGGTCTTTTAAGTGTCCAAATTCAAGTGCACGTTCGCGCACAATGTTCTTCTGTGATTATAACTCACCGCTACACATTCATGCAACCCACACACATTCACTCACTCCTGCCACCGGCTGGGGTGGCAGCGTGGACGAGTCACAAGATAGCGGCGGGAGTGGAAATTTCCTCTCCCTGCCGTGGGGCAGGGGCTGGCTTCCCGGAACGGATGGGCGCCTCCGCCAGCGCTCCTCCCGGTCGGTACGCCCCGTACAAAGGAGGCCGTAGGGCTCGGCCCCGGCACGCTCGGGCTCGGCTTCAAGCAAGGGTCCCAGTTTCCGGCGCTGGTCAGGGCTGGAGGCCTGGGAGGCACGTGCGTCCCGCTCACGGCCGGGAGGAAGGAACGGCGGCCCGCCCAGAAATGAATGGGCGGCCGGAGGCGCGGGCCGCGCTGCGCCGCCGCCGTTTGTGCTAAGAGCAGACAGTCGGGAACCAGAGTCGCTGCGGGCGGTGGAGGCTGTAACGACTCCAGGGCCCCGGCGTGGGGGAGCCGCCTCCCGCCTCCCCCCGACCCCGCCCGGCGCCCCCCGGAGTTCGGCCGGCCTCAGGCGCCCAACCGCCGCCCGCTCACCCCAACTCTTGGCGGTGCGCCCTAGGAACGCTCCGGTGTCCGGGTTATAAATGAAGAGCTTCCATTCGGCCAGGGTCTGGTTGAAGGACTTCTTGTCTTTCTTCGTCATGGTGTGTGTGTGTGAGCAGAGTGGTGAGCGGCGGCCGCGGGAGTGGATGCGGCGAGCAGCGCGGAGGCGCGTCCCAGCTCAGGCGGCGCAGCCCGGCGGCGGCGGCGGAAGGCTGAACGGCCGAAGACACCTCCTTGCTGCGGCGCACACTCGAGCCGACTGCGGCGCGCCGAGCCGGGCGACCGCTGGGGCCGCGGGAGCCTGACGTCTTCTCCGCCGTAGCCAATCCCCGGGCGGCTCGGCCCACGCCGCCGCCGCTATCGCCTCCCGCCGGCGGCCAGGGCGCAGCCCAAATCCGAGAGGGCGCCCCGCCCACTCCACGGCCCCGCCGTCCCGGGTCGGGCTCCAAACACCCTCGGGTCTCCGCTCCTAGCTCGAGGGAGCAAAAACTACATGTCGCAACTTTAAAAAATCATAAAGGCCTAAAAGTTATCACATTTATAACACTAATCAAGAGGTCGGCGTTCCTGATCCACAGGTTTCTTACAAGCAGGACTGGGTTTCCTGGGTGCTCCGAAAAGCACGGAAACGACTCCAGTTTGCCCAAGTCGTCTTCACCAAGAAGGGGAGGCCACTGTATTAACCACTTCCCCTCCCAAAGGGTCTGCCGGCGTTCTCCTTTGGGCTCTATGACGTTACAGAAAGATACTCTGCTTTAGTAGTTCATGAGGAAATTACAGTGTAGTATGAACAGCTGCTCAGAGAATGTTCTTACTTGGCTGTTTAAAGGAGTCTGGATTCTTGGGCAGTAATCCTGGGTCAATGGAGCTTTCATTCTAAATGTGCCAGTATTAGTTAAGTATAATTCTTCTGATTTAGTTGAATTTATCAGTTAAATCAGTATACATGTTTTCCTGGGTTTTCTGTCAGTTAAAAGACCCTCCTCCTTTTCTCAGATCTTCAAATTTTTAAGCTACAGGAAATTAATACTTCCTTTAGTGTTAATGCCTACAAACGTTATTTGGCTTTTCATCTTTTTCACTGTAGTGGGCGCGCCTCTTGGGCGGAGTTCTGCGTGCAGTCAGCATTTCTTAAACAAGATGGAGCTGAAGAGTACAGTACCCTGCGAAGAGCTCTTGCAACAGGATAAAAAGACTTAAATATGAGTTTAGGGAGAAACTTCATTTTATCGAAACAAACAGACAAACAAACCCCAAACAAAACAAAAAGGGAGAGCACTGACTCTTTTATTAGAAAATAAAAAAATTATGAATGAAGAAACAGTACACACGTTTTAACTGAAGAATTTGTAATTCACATGGAAGTTCAAACACAGCCCGCCAGTGCTTTGGAAAAGAAAGAATAAAGAAAATCTGGTATTTTCCTTCTTTGCTTATCAAATCAAAGAATTATGTCATGTCTCATAAACAGACGAGGTAGGAACTATATTGTACAGTGGTTTCTTTTTTTAAAGAAAATACTGTTAACTGATGGCACATGGGGGGAATTGAAATCATTGTAATGAAGCAAACAAAGTATTTGATTTGTTGAATGTAACTGGTGATCTGCTCAGAAAGCTTTCACTCAGTTCGCAGAAAAACTTGTTGTTGTTTTTAAAAAAAGCTAAATTTATCATTATAATCTTGGAAAGGATAACCAAAATCCAGTTATAGTTTTGAGCCAATTACACCAAAAATTTATTAGAAATATTTGTAAAAACTGGCATTATATTAGTATTACAGATAGAATACCATGCAAGCCAACTAGAATGCATTTCTAGCAACTGAGTAACAGAAATAGTTAACTATTGTTACCTTATTGAAAATCTAGCTACAAATTAGAATAGAGCTGAAACACTGGAATTTTGATATCTGGTCTTTTAGTTTTGGTATGAGTGAAGATATAGTCTGTAATAAAATCTACAACTCTTTGAGTGTGTGTGTGTTAGTTAGCAAGCACACGTTGAGAGAAAATGCTAAGCAAGAATATTGTGAGACTCCTTCAAAAACATTAGCAAAATGACTGCTGTTAGAGATTTTTACTTCATACATTTTTTATATTCTGTATGAATAGAACTTGTACACATAGTGCTTTGTGATTTATCAAATAAGAATTTAAATACAAATATAATTAAGTTTCAAAACTCATGCCTAGTTTAGATTGGTAACTAGATGGGACAGATTTCATTTTGGGAAGAATTTTATTTTGTACTTCAAAATATAGGGACTATATGGAGGGAATTATAATCAATGTAATGAAACAAGTCGTATGAATGGTTGAATGTGAAACTGATGATGTGCCCTGTAAACTTTCACTCAATCCACAATAAAAACCTTAAAAAGAAAAA